ATGCCTGGCAAAAAATCCAGCATATTCCAACAAAGGGTAACATCCCAGAAATTAAAATTTAGCAAAATGGTCATAGCATGAAATAGCCTGATACAAAGTAAGAGAACCTCCTGCTGCATGCCACAGTCCATTATGCTATTTCTGAGTCCTCATCAACTACCTCTGTCTACCTTGGAACTTTGAAGCACATGCAATTGAGACAACAGCAAAGTGGCACAATTTTTGGGAACTCCATAGTCTGTTAGGAATTAAAAGAGTGGGATGTATTTTCATAATTCCAGTACCTACAGGATGAAAACTATACTTCATTTAATTTACCAGCAACCTTTAGAAGCAAATAAACTTAAGTTTCTAAGCTATGTAGGTAAGTTTATCACAGCAGTTTAACGTGGAAACCCAAATAAAAATCTAAAAGATGTTTTACTAGTTTAAGTAAACATAAAGCCTTCCCAGCAGTACCACAGATGAGACTATCACCATTGGAGTAAAGCTGTCATGACATCAATGAGCACTCAGGCTATTAACTCTAGCTCTCAAGCAGACTGAGAAGCAACATCCACATGGACCAGAAAGCACATCTCCAATTGAATTTTGATTGCAAAACACTCTACCATTAATCCCCATAATATACTTCTTTCAAGCTTTTGTTACTGTTAGCATTGCTATCAAACAGAACAAAAGCATTTACCCAATGTTTCCCAAAGCACATGTCTCTGAGCTGCTCCACAGCAAACCACCAAGGAGGATTAATAAGTGGAACAAGATATTCATATGGTAACAAAAAAATTGTGTGATCAACCCCAGAAAAATTGGGAAGAGATTTCTTTTTTGTGCCAATTCTGACTTCTCTGCAGCTCTTTTAATATAACAAAGTGCACAACCACAACTTAGCACATGTCTATTGAAAATGGCTATTCCTGTATGCACTCATAGCTTTAGTGAGAGACACACATAGTTTGGACAAAGGTTTTAATGCTTGTAGGATTGGAGTTTCCATGAATGCTACTAGCACTCAATTACTGACTACAAAGTCAGACCAAAAATAATAGGCAGAAAGTTGAGTAAGTGACATAGAAGATTTGCTCTAATCAGCAATTTGGTTAATTTATTTCAACTACAATTATTTGTTATTATTTTAACTTCACAGACAGCACTTAAAAACCTAAATACTTTTGCCAGTGCATTCCCAGTTCTAAATATTCTTGGCTAATTCTTGACACAGGAAAACAGAAATGACTGCAGACTCAACAGATCAATACCTGAAAACAGAAAACTAAGTAGCAAAGAAACCTACACAAGAATTTATCATATGCATCAGCACATTTTAAATTCTCGGAAAGACAAAACAAAAAATCTAGTTGGCAGTTTAATGAAGGTCTCTGCTAGTCATAAAGCAATTAAGAAAGCCCTGGAATTAAGAAGGAAGAACTGACTATATCCCTCTACATGAATTAGTCTAACGGTACTATAGCTACAGCCATCAAACCCAATTTTTTTCCTGGTGTAAGATAGGGCAGAATCACCGAGAATTCCTTACATACAGCTTGAATAACACAGAGATTAAGTCACTTGGAGAAGATTTAAAATATAAATTAATATCTAACTTGTAAAAGGTTAAGTGGATACTTATAGTGATGCTCATGCAATATAACAGAAAGAAATTAATTCAAAGACAATTTATATATGTACAATATATTTTCCTGTGGAAATAGGATTTGTTTAGGT